ATAGTTTTAATATGGCCCTGGGGGGTCGCCAGAAGTTTTTAACTTGTGAAGGGGTCGCGTATTCAAGAAGGTTGAAAAACACTGGTCTACTGTATATAAAAGCGGAAATCTGGTTTCTGACCCGGTATGCCAAAAACGGCCACTAGGGGCGCCCCTAGCTATTATTTTATATTTTTACAGTATATTATTATTTTTTGAAGGATGTTATGGGTAGAAAATTTTAAATTTGATTAAAAATCTGTTTCTTTTTTTTCAATTATTTGAAATTTAAGCGCTAGTCTAAATAAATTATGTATTTTGTTGTAATTAATTAAAAATTTCATCTCATCTGGTTTTTTTAAAGAGAGGGGCAGCCATTTGAGGCATATTTTTGCGGAGGCAGTAGCCTTAAAAGGAAGGTCGTCTTCGAAAATTTTTGTGAATTGTCTTAAGGATCGCTGATGGTGTAGAAACGAAACGGCGGAAAGATTGACAGAAGCGAGGTTTTTTACCTTTGTAAAAATGTCGTATTTTATATATTTATTAAAAGTGAAGTATATGTGTATGAATTTTTAAAGATATAAAATTGTTATTTGAAAAATTACTCACACGGAACCAATTTACAGTGAGGTAATAACATGGAAAAAACGAACGTTTTTGAACCCCTTCTGGACTCTGCATCAGGTTCTGATAGTTTTTAGACGGGAATTCGATTAACGAATGCCGTTTAACTAAGAGTTTGAAACGATTTAACACAACATACATTTTTTGTAAATCATTTCAAACTCAAGATCGAACTGTTAGTTAAACGGCATTCGTTAATCGAATTCCCATCTAAAACCTGTTAGAACCTGATGCAGAGTGCAGAAGTGGGTTCAAAAACGTTTGTTTTTTCGATTTTACCCATGGGCGTAGCCAGAGTTTTGTTATGGGGGGCCTAGTGGAGGCCAACCTGACACAAAATTGAATTATTTCAAATTATTGTTCATTATTGGGCACCGAGCAAGCCGTTCACCTTTTTTTAATATTCAAAACTTTTATTTTAGCTTTAGGTTTTTACAAATCGACTCAACACTTTTTCGGCTGTGATTTCCTGGGGAGGGCACCAGGTTCCCTGGGAGGGGCCGTGCCCACCCAGGCTCCCCCCTCGCTACGCCCATGATGTTACCACACCGTAAACTGGTTCCATGTGCGTAATTTTTTAAGTTAGTGTGGTGTGGTGAGTAGTTATTTATTGCTATTTGAACCTTTTCTTTTTAATTTGTAAACTAAAGAGGACCATTCTTAAGAGAATAGGTCAAACACATTTTATGAAATAAAGGTTTTTCTTCATAAAAGAGTTTTCTCCATAAAAAAAAAAAAAAGGAAACAGCATGAACAATATTGTCAAGATCGTACGGTCTACAAAATATTAAAAGAATAGACTTAGCAAATAAAATAATATAAAGAAAAATTACAATTACTAAATATCAAAGTAAAGTACTGTACATATTTAACAACAAGTGTTAAGAAATGCAAAAGCAAGGTTTTGGAAGTAATGATTAATCCGATTTTCACTGGGCTGCAATCTGGAAAAAATTGTAGACTTATAAACCCACTGTCATCCGTTCGTCTTTCTTTAATCTCGATAACAGAGTTAGATAGATGAACTTGGAGACAGAAATGGAAACCATAGGGAAAGGAGGTCCCAGTTAACTATATATGAACTTCTGATGCAAGCAGAAAGTCACATTACTTCGATTTAAAACTTTTCCTGAAAACAGTTAATAGATTACTGGTACATCTCTATTGTTAAAGGAAAAGTATGATGTACAGTACCTTCAGCACCAAAAGTTTTTATATTTAAAGCTATATTAGCTTGATATAAAAAAAAACATTAGTTTTTCATAAATTCATTCTATTCTACTTGAAGGTTAAAAACATTTAAATACTTATATATAGATTTTAAATATTTAAGGATTTATAAATATAACAAAAAAAATAATAATTTCATTATGATAAATAAATAAAAAATAACAACAGTAAACAATCATCTTCCATCAAAAACTGATGATAAAATACATTTATTATTGTATAAAAGTCATACATTAATGTTAAGTAACAACATTAAATGCTTTGAATAAAATATTGAATACAAAATGTGACTGTTTGCAAGATTTTAACTTCTAATCAACAGATTGATCAATAACACACTCAAATTTACATTTAGGAACAAACTATTATTGCATTATAATCAGATAATATCATTTATGTACTTTATATGTATAACTATATTCTTATTTTTCATTAAAAAATTGACACATTAATACATTTGTATATATAAAACAAACATTTTAAGTAAGAAATCGCCTTAAGTCTGTTCTGGAATTGGTATTAACTGTATTACATCAGGCCAGTCTTCTATTGGCCATTGTCCATTTTCTTCTACATTTGGTGGACTTTTTTTCCAATCCCAATTTTTCACTGGTTCAAACCAATTTGGCCCATAATTTGCTTGTATATAATCTTCTGTCTGACATGGAACACGAATCTTTAATTCAAGGAATTCAGTCCAACACAATTCAAATTTTGGGAAAATATATCTGAAATAAATATAATTTATTATTACGTTGGGTTTAGTGAGTTATACTCGGTTGGCTATGTATTATGCTGGATCAGAGTCTATAGTGACCAAAACGAAACAAAAATTAAATAATTGTGTCAGTGTGTGTGTCTGTATTCAGGAATTTCCTAACAATATGACATGTATTTAATATAGTGGCCTTCCGTAATGTGATGTACATGTTTCTATTCAGTTGTAATGTTTCCAGGCTTTTGTGTAGTGTGTGTGGTATGACACCTGTAGAGGAGAGAACAACAGGTACAACAAGCACCCTATCCATCTTTCAAAGATGCTATATTTCCTGGGCAAGTTCTGTGTACTTGCTGATTTTTTCAGTGCATTTGTTTTGAACATTGTGAGTGTTTGGAATGGATATGTCTATAATGTATGTAATTTATTGTTTGTCAATGAGTGTGATGGCTGGTCTGTTGTGGTAAATTGTTTTATCTGTAATTATGGCTTTGTCATAGTACATTTTGTGTATGTTGTTTTCCAATACTGTCTATGGAATGTATTTGTAGTATGGTTCATGGATGTCTAATAATTTGTGTTTCTTTGCAAGCTCTTGCTGTATTATCTTTGCTACTTGATTATGTCTATGTAAATAATCTGTCTGTGCCAAGAACTTGAAATCAGAACTGATGTGTTGTATAGTTTCTGGCATGATGTGACATTTGTGAGTGTTGTATCCTTGAGTATGTGCTTTCTTGACCTGATCCTGTGTGGCAATCATGAACCCTTCTGTCTTCCCAAAGAGGCATCCCTGAGATAACCTGCTGTTTGACACAGTTTATTATTATTATTATTACTGTATTAATTCCAGCATATTGCATCTAGAAATCAATAAGAATAGCCATTGCTAACAAACTATATGACAAACTATATGCAATATTTCCATTTTTATTATGGAAATAGTATGAATGAATATAAAGGTAACCCCCGTATAACACGGCACTTCTATAGCACGGATTCACTCTAACACAGTTCGAGAATTGGTACCATCCCCCGTATAACACGGTACTTTTATAGCATGTATTCACTCTGACATGGTTCGAGAAATGGGTAAAACTGTCGTACAACATGAAATGTAATAAATTTTTACATACTTAAGTACTAATAGTTCACGAAAATTATTATTTTCGTGAACTATTAGTACTTCAGTGTGTAAATTTTCTTTTCTTGTCTCCATACACATGGTCCTTTGCGAAAATTGTTTCAATTTTGCTATATTTCGACGCTTCTGCTTCTGGTGTTGCCAAATGTTTTTCCCTTATTCCATAAGTTCTTAGCACCATATAAGGAAATTTATAAAGATCTTTTAACTAGAAGCAAGCAATCTAAAATTACATACACTTTTTACAAAAGGTAAAGCATGAATCTGAAAATAATGCAGAAAGACGCTCAGAGGATAACGATAACTTGCCAAAAATAAAACGCTCTCGGTTAATAGTGCTTTTAGTGATGACAAAGAAAACATTGTTTAATTTATATTAATATGTATCACTTAAGAAAATTTTAATAAAGATATTTAACTTAATTATGAAAATATAGTAGCATGTTCTTTAATTTTTGGAACCTAACCCTCCTTTTCATACTAGTTCTTTGATTCGCATAACACGACAATTTTTTGGAACGTAACTACCGTGTTATACGGGGGTTACCTGTAATTGTTTTCTAAATCAGAAAACAGTATATTTACATATAATACTTCTTAATTGTATGTTATGTTTTGGAACATTTGCGGTTTATCATTTCCCTATTGTCATATAAAAATTGCAAAATTTGTTTTACTGCAAAAATGAAAGATTATACTACTGAATTATATAACATAATAATAAAACTAAATTACAATTTATTTTACATAAACTGCTAACATATTGGCATGGTAATCATTTTATCATATGCATGTAAAATATAAAAATTTAGTTTTCAAAGATAAGAGATTCATCCATAAAAAATAAATTAAAAATTAAAGTTATCATTTATGACTTTTTGATTTTTAAAATTAATGTATTCAAATTCAAAATCATTTTTCAAATGATTGTGTATTTTCAACTATAAATATTTAATTTATTATCTAATAATTAAATATGACAATATGTTATGTCTGAATAACATAACAGGAAATAATATAACTACTCTACTCTTAACATTTCTGTAGTGAAACAAAATATATATCATGAATGCACAACTTGCCTCAGGCTGCTTTAGACTAAATCATAGTCTAAAGCAGCCTGAGGCAATTTTAAAAAAGCTTAATATCATAGCTAAACGCACATTAAACAAACATTTATGCACAAATCACGAAGTAAAAACAAATCAAATAAATAAAATATTAACAATAAAAATAAAATCAATGTCACACAAAGATTGTAATACTACCACAGTATGATTTTCAGTTTCTTTGATTGTGATTGAACTACCTGTATTTTTCTTGAATCTTTGTTTAAAAAAAACCATAATTAATTAATTAAAATATTAAGCATTGGCTTGAAGCTCAATATACAGTATCTGTCATCATCGTTATTTTTTATGTTTTACTTATAGTTAATTTGGGAGTTCCAAACAACACCATCATAAATTGGGAATTAGAAGTACTGCTAATGTACTTATGAATATTCAGATTGGCCTATTAATACAAAAATTTAACTACAATTAAGTGCTGTGTTCCATGAGACTCCATAGGCTGCATGTTGTGTACTCAATATAATATAAACATTACTTTTAAAACAATAAAAAAACATAAAATTTGAAAATTAATATATTCATGAATGTGTTCAAAAAAATTAAACAAAAATTATCACAATATATAAATTATTATTTACTTGAATTTTTTCCCAGTTCTTGCTTGTGTTCCACCATTCCAAACATAATCTCTCTCTTCATAGAAGAAAAAAACATCTAATTTAATATCATTGTCTCTGAAAGATAGTTCAAAGCTATCTTCAATCTGTAAAAATATTCATGGAAAAAATCTCTATGAGAATATATGAATACAAGTACTTTATACAGTTAATAAAGACAAATTTTATTAATCAATTTTATCTTGAAACAACTGCATGCATAATTTTTATTAAATAATAAAATGTCAAACATATGTGTCAGATATTACTAAAAAATTTAAAATTTTGAATAATTATAAAAATAAAATAATATTGAAATTATTTCCTACAATATTTTTAAATGTAATAAATCAAGTAACATATTTTTCTTTACCTTCCCAAATGAATGAGTCAATGGAAGATCATGTGTAGAAAATGCTGGAATAATGTCTGGATTATAATCTTTAATCCAAATTCCAATATCTACATCTTTGCTATATGGTATGAAGTCACACTGTCTGAAATAACCTACAATATGAGATTTAAAAAATTAGAAACTTTATATATTTAAAATTAAAATAATTATCTAATATTACCTAAACAAGTTCCGCTACTTAACCAAAATGGTATATTCAAATGATCCAAAAGAGTTTTAGCTTTAGAGAGAAGTTTCCATGCTTTAGTTCGAAATAATTCTGCATCCTCACTTTCATCTCTTCCATATTTTTCATAAAATAATTTCGATCTGATATAATTACATTCTATGAACTTTGTTGAACTTGCAGGTGCAATAAATGAAAATTTATTTGGAAAATGAAGCTTGATGTTATCAATTACAACAGGACTAATTTCAACTCTAAATTAATTTTAAATAATTTTAATTATATCTTAATAATAATAATAAATTTAAACAAATGAATTTAAAATTAAATCTATATCATTATAAATAAAGCATTTTATTTAATATTTCAATATCAAATACATCATCTTTAAAAAAAATTGTAAATTGTGCAAACATGCATGCATAAAAAGTTCTGGGAGAACTTTTAAAGTGCAATTAAATACATAAATTACTGACAAATTATTAGAATAATTCAGCAGTTTAATTTCACATACATAAAAATCAAAACTAGTATAATTTGTACAAAATATATTTTGAGATTTCATTATTTGTAAAAAATAAACTTCTATTACATATATCTTAAAATGCATTTTTATTTTTTAAATTATATCTTTGATAATATCAAACAATAGCCAATAAATATAATTAAAAATGAAGGTTATTATAATCTACATTATTGTTATAAATAATATCAAAAAATGCTAATAAAAAATAATGAATAGTACAACAAAAGTAAAATGTTGCTCAGCATTAATTTAAATTACTAATAATGACACTTTTAATAACGTGTCTAACAAATGTCTTTATTTTAGTAAACAAAAATAGCAAATTCATCAACACCTTATTTACTGAGAAAAATATATCTATGTAAAGTAAATACAACTGTTAAAGTGCATTAATTACAATTTTTGCCTCATATATGTATATAAAGAGATTGCTGCAATTTTGTGCGTTAATAAAATCCGGTGTTAAGCAAAACTGTGTTAAGCAAGGGATACATGTATTTTTCCAGTAAGATATACAGTCTTTCTTTGACTGCATAATTTTGTTTTTCTGAAAAAAATCTGTAATTAAGACATTTACAAACATGTGTCAACAAATCCAATATAACTTTATATAGATATGACTTATATTTTAATATAAGTCATATCTAGGACATAATGTAAGTCATATAAGGACAATAAAAAGTCCACACTGATGAAAAAGTTCCACCAATACTGAAGTATACACCTCACAACAGACCTTTACTTGTAGGCTACTGCTTGGATGTTAGTTTTAATCCTCCTTACAGTCAAGTAGCCTGCAAGTAAAGGTCTGTTGTAAAGTGTATGCGTGTCTTTGTGAAACTTTTTCATCAATGTGGACTTTTTTTATTTTCTTTTAAAATATTTGTATTAAAATATAATGTGATAAAGCCCTTTTACAGGAATTTTAATATTTTGTAATTTTATTAATATGATTTATATATAGATTTTTAACATCATTGTTCAAGCTCTAGATAGAAAAAATTTGATATTACTGTAAATTTAATAGTATACTATTTTTAATTTTTAGATTTCTCTCTCTACTAGAAAATTATCTGTTTTGCACATTGACATTATTAAATACAACATATGTTATAACAGCAAGAAATAATTAGAACTCAGATGCGATTATCATAATTTTATAATCATAATATCAACATAATGTAAAAGATTATATGCTTTAATCTTTCATTTGAAAATATTTAGGATAATTTAAATTGTAAAACTAAATTAAACATTTGATTATTGTTTTTTCATGTGTTGTTGTAGAATACTAAAATGAATTACATAAAGAAATAATATATTAGTGTAATGAGATTTAATATAAGAAAAGAATCCAAATACTTGAATTTTATCATCAGTTAGCTTTAATTTTTATAAAGATTACAAAGAACATAAAAAACATTATTATAATGTGAGCAATATTATTAGATCATCATTGGTGTGTTTTTCATTACAATAAAACTTCATGAGCCATGAAAAAACTTTCTAAATAGAACTTCAAGAGAAAATCCGAATACTGTAATCATAAATTAATTATAAAGAAGATATAGCTACTTGTAATATATGTTTTTAATAATTGTTAATTTTCCAATTGTCTCTTTACAATTAAAAAGTAATAAATTTGGATTAATGCTTTCAAGAAGATAAACAATAATAAATTCTGATTGAAAAATCATTAAATTAAATTAAAACTATTAGTAAAAATTTTATAACAATAAAAAAAAAATGAAGAAGGTAAATTTAAATTTATCTTACTTTTCATAAGAACCAGCTTGTTGACTAAATTTGCAATCTTGAATTTTGAATCCTTCAACTTCTTTTGACTGAGCACCAATTAAATGTAGAGGACCATGCCACCAATATTGATTACCTCGATCATAAAAGACCACAATGTGAATAAGATGTTGATAAATTATTATTATGTAATGCAGAGGAATCTGAACTTTCAATTCATGTCGAATAAGAATAGGATTATCTCCATCAAAAACCAAAACTTTTGCTCCTATTTCTTTCAACTCATTTAAAAATCTTTCCTGTTGAATAATAATAACTAATAATAAATAATTATGTAACTAATATTACCTAAACAAGTTCCGCTACTTAACCAAAATGGTATATTCAAATGATCCAAAAGAGTTTTAGCTTTAGAGAGAAGTTTCCATGCTTTAGNTGCGAGGAGAAGGATTAATGCGAGTGGCATTAGAAGGAAAAATTGATGCAAGGAAACAAAGAGGAAGAAAAAGAAAAGTATTGATAGATGATGTTTTACTAGGCAAAACTTATAAAGAAATAAAAGAGGAAGCCCAAAATAGAGAATGTTGGAGAAGGGAGAATTCTATAATTTGACTGCTTTCCACGGACCTGTCCTAGGACAGAACACCCATGAATGAATAAATGAATATATATATTTTTTTTACTAATCTGAACAACCTCTTACAACAATTAGTTCAGATTAATGAGTGTGCACTATAATGGTAAAAATATGATTTCAATTTTCATATTTTAATCAGAACAATCTTTAAATAGATTATAAATTCTATAAGCTTACCAAAACAACATTTGGTTCATTATTTACTTCAGTATCCTACACAAAATATAAAAAAATATCATCANAAAAAACATTATTATAATGTGAGCAATATTATTAGATCATCATTGGTGTGTTTTTCATTACAATAAAACTTCATGAGCCATGAAAAAACTTTCTAAATAGAACTTCAAGAGAAAATCCGAATACTGTAATCATAAATTAATTATAAAGAAGATATAGCTACTTGTAATATATGTTTTTAATAATTGTTAATTTTCCAATTGTCTCTTTACAATTAAAAAGTAATAAATTTGGATTAATGCTTTCAAGAAGATAAACAATAATAAATTCTGATTGAAAAATCATTAAATTAAATTAAAACTATTAGTAAAAATTTTATAACAATAAAAAAAAAATGAAGAAGGTAAATTTAAATTTATCTTACTTTTCATAAGAACCAGCTTGTTGACTAAATTTGCAATCTTGAATTTTGAATCCTTCAACTTCTTTTGACTGAGCACCAATTAAATGTAGAGGACCATGCCACCAATATTGATTACCTCGATCATAAAAGACCACAATGTGAATAAGATGTTGATAAATTATTATTATGTAATGCAGAGGAATCTGAACTTTCAATTCATGTCGAATAAGAATAGGATTATCTCCATCAAAAACCAAAACTTTTGCTCCTATTTCTTTCAACTCATTTAAAAATCTTTCCTGTTGAATAATAATAACTAATAATAAATAATTATGTAAAAATAATTAACTTTTTTTTATAAAATATATAGCATCAAAAATCAAATATTGTGTTTAACTAAAATTTAATTATATACATATTCAATATCATTTTTATCATTTCTAAGTACTCTGACTATAAAAATACAGATATAAACTCCCAATATGGGACTTTATATCTGTATTTTTATCATCACACATAATTCTCTAGATTTGACATTCTAATAAATTAATATGTAAGTCAAAACAAATTAAAATTGATATTTTTATCACATGATAATTACTTGTGGTGTACCAAGTGGTCTTTCTCAAAGCATTCCCCCTTGGAATTCAATGTACTTCTGTTAGTCTGTGAAGACTTGTAGCAGGCCATCCTTTGAAGTTTTCTTCAGAATTGTCTCCAATATTTTGATACCGCTGTTGTGGATGGGAAATGAGTTCCCTATAATTTTGATTTCAGTGCTGAAAATAGGAAAAAATTTGCAGGATGCCAAATCTGGGCTGTATGATGGATATGAGGAGCATCAGATGGTTTTTCTTGGCCCAAAACTCAATTACCATTTTAGTAATGTGTATGCTGTATACTGCTTGCCACAATCAACTTTCATTTTGTTATAAGCAGGCAGCAGGTAACATTTCCTTTGAACACACTAGCAACCAAAGTTTCATATTCAATTTTCTGAACACATGCATCAATAACTATTTTTAACAGTGATGTAGTATCTGGATTTGTTAGTACTATACTTTTGACAGGAAAAAAAAAACAGTCTGAATTTGTTTTGACTTCATCCTCATATAATAATTTTATTTACAATAAAGATTTAATTAACAATATCTTGAATATGAGACTAATGTTGCATGACATAATACACAAATCTGTTAACTAATTCTGCTGAGTCAAATAAAGAAAAATAAAATGCTTCCAAAAGATGTTTTTTTCAATTTCATTTACAGGTAAATCACTAAATAATTCCCCAGGATTTTAGTATATCAGAACTTTCAAGAAAGTTTCAAAAATAGCATTTTATCATCTAAGATTTATTCTAATGAGCACGAAACATTTCATCACAGGTTTTAATAAAATACCTTACTTCATACATTCTACATAAATAATATCTAAGAATTTGTATGGAAATGGACCTTTTAATCTATACATTGCAATTATATTTAAAATATATAACTTTAAATAACTTACATTTTAAATTTTTTTCAAAATATAAATCAAAATTACCTATCTTTTAATTTCTATAAAAACTGTAAGTAAATATTAAAATATTTAAAAAATACACAAGTGTCATTTATTAAAAGTAAGATTAAGAAACAAACATAAGAGATAAACAAAGATAAACATAAAAATAATTTTAAACAATTCCTAAATAGAATATATCTCCTAAATCTGCCTACTAGATTCAGACAGTAATTATTTTCGATCTGATTATAGTACTATTGTACTACAATCAGATTGAAAACAATCAATTATGTTTGAAAGCATAGGAAAACATTTTTGGGCTGTTTTTAAATTCAATAGATTCAATATCATGAAGTACAAAATCAGAATAAACAATAACTGAGCAACTATAATTACTTTTTAATTTTAATAAATGAATGGATTATAATTTTTAAAAATATATGTATGAACTAAAAGAAAATAAAAATTTAATTCTATTCTTTCTGATCTACATCAAACTAGTGACTTTTCTACAAAATTCTATTCATTTCTCCATCACACATTTTCATGGAATATATGGCAATGTTCATCTCTTCTTATTTACTATGCTGTTTTACAACTATTTTGGTAAACCCATATTTTTCTATAAAGTGGCTGTTGCCCAGCTATAATTCCTTTAGAAGTTTTGTTTCATCCTAAAACATTTTATTCCTAGTTCATCTTATTTGCATCTTTGTTAACATCTCTCTTATATTCATCAATCTTTTCAGCTAACTTTCTATTAGTAATGCTGTAGAGTCACCTATTATAATTTCAGTGACTCTATTAGCATTTCATAAATGATTTAATAATTATTGAAAAACTTTCGATATAAAATGATTTCCATTTGATAGACATGTTTTAACCAATCGAAAAAGGGTGTTTTAATTTGTTTATAGGGTGTCAAGTTAGGGTAAATAAACTATACCATATGTTTCATTTACTTCTATTTTTACTTACCTTTTGAGTTTGAGTGGATAACTGACCTAGAGTACCAAAATGTGTAACTCTCTGTCCTAAACATAATATTCTGCATCTATTATCTCTCCCAATCTTGCTGCCATTATATATATTGCTCAAAATAAAGGGATCAATTAAAAACATTGAAAATCCATGCTTAGCACCAGATGCTGCAACTGCTTGAACTGCTTCCTTTAAATATAATTTAAAAAATGAAATATATAAGGAAAGTAAACTTATTTCATTAATATTGTAAATTTAATAATTATTATAATCAGTATTTCTTCTTATTATTATTTTAACTTTAGATATATCTAATAGAAACAATTAAATAATTCTGAATATTTTGTCATTTACATTTCAAATATTTCTTAAATTGCGATTTTAAATCTTAACATTTTAAATCTGATTTTGGACACTATACAAAATTTTACAGTATTTGTTTTCTTAAGAAAATTTCATAAAAACTGATCAATTTAAACTAAATTTTTTATTAATCTAAATACTTTATTATTTAAATAACTAGCAAAATATAGAAACTCATGCTATTCATTCAAATGTCATAAATTTTAATAGACTGGGCATAAGAATAAATTCAATAGAACATAACATGGGAATTTCCCAACAAAAACAAATATTGGGAGTTTCCCAATATTTATTTTTGCCTTTTTTGTAATGGCTAGCAAAACAACAAGGATTAAAAAAAAAAAAAGATAGAAAAGTTGAAAAAGTAAATTCAACACAAGGATTTTTCCTCATAAAAGCTAAAAAACAATATACATACTATATAAAGTTTGCCATTTCTTTAACTATATTAGAGAGAAACAGTTTTATGTGAGGATTGCTACAACTCTCTATATAAATAAAATTATTTATAATAATAAATATTTTTATAACAAACATAACAATTTAATAAACTGATATTAATTAATTGGCAGAAATTGTTAAAAATCACTGTATACTAATTAAGCTAATTATTAGATATATACATATATTAACAGATGAGCCTTGTGTTTCTTGGGCAAAAAATAACAACAGCAAAGATTAAGATTATTAGATTATTTCATACTTCTAACTTTTCTATTATATTATATTATAGTATTTGATTTATATTTACAAAGGTTATTTTATGTAAGAGTTTATCGCACCAAGTAACCAATCTAACACATTTTAAAAATTCTTTAAATTATATACAGTGGAAGAATAAAGAATTTTTAAAATGTGTTACATTGGTTACTAGGTGTGATAAACTCTTATGTAAGATAACATTTGTAGTTATATAAATCAAATAGTATAATACAACAAACATTAAAATGAAAAAATGACTTCCGGTTTGCATCCGGTTGATGCAAACTGGAAGTCATGTTATTTCAACTTAAAAATTTTCCCCTGAAAGGTGTTAGATAAAATAATCGACATGATTCTATTATTAAAGGAAAAGTATGATGTACAGGGGCAAGACACTACAGTACTAATTTGAGGCAGAGAGCATATATTTTAAATTAAATAAATTAAAAAAATATGATTAAAAATTGCAGCCTGACAATGTCACAATAAATATTTGCTCATTACATTTATATTCTAATCAAAAATTAATATAAGCCTGGATCAATTATTGTTTGAGTCCAGAGGGCAAACTTTTAATTCCTGTTCATTAGACAAGAATTGAAAGTTTGAATACAATTTCATGCAGGTTTTTTTCAGATGTATCAAAACGTAATTATCATATTTCCTTCACTCTAAGCCTCCATCAGTTATAAGATGCACTATAAGTTTGGAATAAAATTGAAAAACTTTTTATGAAAATAAAATTATTTAAAATTTTTTTAAGTTTGTTAACTGGCAAGTTTTAAAAATAATACAAATTCCATAAAACTGAGAAGGTAGTAGCTCTATTTTTATGTTTTATACAAATAACTATTGTTTTTAATGCTGCATCATAATGTCATTTTGAAGGCAGTTTGAATTACCACTTGTTGCCAATGTTGTTATGAACTAGTGTGATCGTTGAGCAGTAGAGAGTCAAAACTAATTATTATTAATGCATTATCGATAACTTACATATGTATCCATTTATGATAACTTCTATTTGTTTTTTAAATTGTAAATGAAAGAAGCCATTGATTCTAAGATATATCTCTGTTTCAGACAAATAAAACTGAGAAAAAAATACTTCTTAGAAAATACAATAATTTCCATATTCATTAAAGTAGAAAATACAATAATTTCCATATTCATTAAAGTGTCTAACATATAAGATTATATAAATTTAATTGAAATTTTCAAAATCATTAAATGAATTTATTAACCCAATAATAATTTTGTGGAAACTACCTAGTTTTACTATTATAAATATTACATTTCAATTATTATATTAATTGTTGCTGTTGTAACTATTAATTTAATTACTATTGATATAAATTATCATATTATTAAAAGTGATGTTCATTATAATATGTATAGTGTATTTTCGCTAAACCAAACTCTGGTTAATCTGAACCAATTTTATTTTTCGTTTTAAATGTTTCAAACAAAAACAAAGAAACCACAACATTTTTAAACGGTGTAACTTTTAAAAAACGTGTAGTGTACACTAATCTGTAAAATTAGTATACACATTTATACAATTTATTTATACAAAAATACAATATAATTTTGTAAAAAATATATATATATATTTCTTTGACTTTTTTGTATGATCTATCATATAAAAAAGTCAAAGAACTAACAAATGATCGCACCCACCAAATTCTGAGTATTGAAGACAAAGATGGAAAAGCACTTTTAACCCCAACTGATATAATGGGCCATTGGAAAGAATATATTGGAGATCTCTATGGAGAGAACACCAAACCTAAAGAGTTAAAATTGGAAAAATCTTCTCAAATAGCTAATCTGATGAAAGATGAAGTTGGATTGGCAATTAAATTCATGATTGGCAACTTCATGGATTGGCAACTTCATGAAAGATGAAGTTGGATTGGCAATTAAAGAATTGAAAAACAAAAAGTCAGAAGGAGTAGATGGAATACCAGCTGAATTTCTAAAAGGGTTAGGCAAGGAAGGAATCGAGAAAATAACAGACTTATGCAATCTCATATATAAAACAGGAGAATGGCCTGAAGACTTTGCTCAAAGTATTTTGATACCTATACCAAAGAAAGCAAAAGCTAAAAAGTGTAGTGATTTTAGAACAATTAGTTTAATTTCACATGCCTCAAAAATCCTTCTTAAAATCATTAACAGAAGACTCTACAACAAGGCTGAAACATTTCTATGTGAAGAACAATTTGGATTCAGAAAAGGAACAAGGGATGCTATTGGCCTCTTGAGAACAATCTGTGAAAGAAACATTGAGGTTAATAAGGATACGTACATTTGCTTTATTGACATGGAAAAGGCTTTTGATATGGTTAACTGGACAAAGCTAATGGAAATCTTAAGAAAAATAGGAACAGATTGGAGAGATAGAAGACTCATTGCTTCACTTTATATGAATCAATCTGCCATTATCCGAACAAAAACTGGAGAAAGCAAACCATGCAGTATTGGAAAAGGAGTCAGGCAAGGGTGTACACTTTCACCTACTCTTTTTAACATTTATCTTGAGGAATTAATGAATGAAGCCATAAGTGAGGACAGCCTCGGAATTAAAATTGGAGGCCAATTAATACAAAGTATTAGGTTTGCAGATGATATTGCTTTACTTGCACCAAATGAACAAACTCTACAATGTTTGGTAACAAAACTCAACAAAACTTGCAAAAAATTTGGAATGAAAATTAACATAGCTAAAACAAAAGTGATGAAAGTTGGAAGGCTAATTAGCAAAGATTTGAAAATCCTAATTGATGGAAACAAAATAGAGCAAGTTCAACATTTTAGGTATCTTGGCAGCATTATTCAGGGAGATGGCAGATGTGAAAAAGAAATCAAAGAACGAATCAGGGCTGGAAAAATGGCTTTTTATAAGAAGAAGAACCTTCTTATTGGAAAAATGAACCAAACACTTAAAAAGAAGTTAATAAAATGCTTTTCCTGGAGCATAACTTTATATGGAGCAGAGACTTGGACCTTAAGGAAAAAGGAAACAAACTACCTTGAAGCATATGAAATGTGGTTATGGCGAAGAATGGAGAAAATCAAGTGGACAGAAAAGGTTAAGAATGAAGATGTTTTAAATTTGGTCCAGGAACAGAGATCTCTTTTAAAAACAATACAAAGAAGAAAAAATAACTGGCTAGGTCATATATTGCGAGGAGAAGGATTAATGCGAGTGGCATTAGAAGGAAAAATTGATGCAAGGAAACAAAGAGGAAGAAAAAGAAAAGTATTGATAGATGATGTTTTACTAGGCAAAACTTATAAAGAAATAAAAGAGGAAGCCCGAAATAGAGAATGTTGGAGAAGGAGAATTCTATAATTTGACTGCTTTCCACAGACCTGTCCTAGGACAGAACACCCATGAATGAATAAATGAATATATATATTTTTTTTACTAATCTGAACAACCTCTTACAACAATTAGTTCAGATTAATGAGTGTGCACTATAATGGTAAAAATATGATTTCAATTTTCATATTTTAATCAGAACAATCTTTAAATAGATTATAAATTCTATAAGCTTACCAAAACAACATTTGGTTCATTATTTACTTCAGTATCCTACACAAAATATAAAAAAATATCATCATTATTTTGATAATTTAATATTAATATTTAAATTATATTTAGTTCATAGAATTTAAATAAATTTTTCATTAATCAAATTTTATTTCATTACAACATTACATCAATTATGTCTAAAAATATTTTTCATGACTTCAAAATATAAATTATTTTTCAACTTTATTTGAAAACACAGATTCATCAGTTTTGATCAGAATTTGTTGGTGTAAAAATTTAATATATAGGTATTTAAAAAACAAATGACTTATTATTATACAACAATAATTTATTTTATTGTGCATTCTAGTTCTATTGGGGATTCATTTATACATACATCAATGTTATATAAAAAATAATCTGAAAAATCAAATTGTTAGCATTTTGGAACTATAGATTTCTAATGTATAATAAATACATTTTATATAAAAATAAATGATTTTAAATAATTGGGTTTTTTTTTACAGAAATGTTTTAAATTTTCTATTAGACCATGCTTTGCTTTATTTGAAATGAGTTATTAAATTATTTCATTGTTTAATACAATGAAATAATTTAATAACTCATTTCAAATATTAAAATTCAAAATTTATAGAATAATTAAACTGTTCTCAAATTTTGGATTGTTTACCCATTCTAAGATTTTATTAGCTATTTTGCATCAATTCAAGATGTTCTGTAAAATCATTTACAATTTTAAACATTAATAATTTTGGATATATACACAATAAATGCACAGAATAAAAAGACATTCAAAAGCCTTGTTCTTGAAGTTTTTTTATATGAATTTGATTTCAAATTAATGAATTAGAATAATTTTAGTTTAAATATCTTTTCAGACTCAATAGATGAATGCATATGGCAATGGTAAAACTTAAGTTTAACTGCTTGTCATATGCTCAATTGTTGTTCTGACAAAACCTTTGTGCAGTCAACAAACCACGTAATATGAACATCTTTAAAGTCAGAATTACAAATGCAATTCAAGAAATCACCAAGCAATAACTGCAAAAAGTTTTCAACGAATAGGAAAATTGGCTCAACAGATACATTAAAATCTGTTGACAATGACAATGATAATTATTTTTAAGATTTAAAGATAAAATTGTATTGAGATAAAATTTAATGCATTAAAACTTTTAAATACAGTTTACAATGTCCTTTTCTCATGCATATATCCAAAGTTATTAAAGCTTAAAATTCCTCAAGGAGTTATAAAATACTCTCTTACAAAATACAATTCTTAACAGACATATTATTTTGAGGTATTTATTTGAATCACTAATGACCTATGAACAAATAATTTTATAAGTGAAATCTGACATAATCATTAAAATCATTAAAGTGGTACAGAAGCAAAATAGAAATAAAAAACATTATGAAGATTTATACACCATTGTTTCTAAACAAAGTATGTTTTATCTACAGCTCAAATTCTGTCTAGAAGTATCACTATCACCAAAGGTAGACCTAGACAAAATTTATTTTTGAGGTCAATTAAAAGAGCAACACAGATAGAAGAGACATTTATTTAGATCTATGATAATCAGAGCTATTAAGAGCTCATTCAAGCCCCTTTTGATATTTACAGTAGAGCATCGATTATCCAAAATAATTCAAGATTGGGGCTGTTCGGATAACTGATCATTTACAAAAAAATACATTAAACACAAAACTCTACCATATATATTTTGTATCACATGTCTTACAAATACATACCTTACATAAAGTAGTACATTAAAGTAGGTCTACAGTTTAGATTGGCAGGGAGAGGGAGAGTGCTGCAGTGCCACAGCACTAGCAAAAATTTGAATTTGCCGACCGGAATGCTTTCAGTTAACTGAGTTTTGATCAATCAGTATTTGGATAATCAATGATCTACTGTATTTCTAAACAAATGAAATATGTAGAATGTTTCCTTATTAATAAAAAAGCAATCTTAGAGATTTTTTTGTTAGTAAAAATAGCATTAATTTATAGGAGTGGGAACCACTACAGGTCCCAAAAATTTCTAAATAAAATCTCCCCTCTCGACAACCACGACAATAATAATAATATTTTTATTACCAAAACAGACAAATGTCCTGGTAGTGTAGTACATACAATAAAGTAATAAAAATGTGTACAACAGTTTAATAACAAATTGAAAAACAAGTGTACAAAAATTCACCTACAAAACTCCTCTCCTGTTTTTAGCATTACCAAATTCATTAATTAAAGAGAAAAAGTCTTTCAATGGACAAGATCTATTGGTAATTTATTAGAATAGGTTAGGTTAGATCGAAAGTGAAAGGGGTCTGTAACTGTGGAGTGACAAATCCCTCATTCAGAGTTTACATTTTAATATAATTATGGTCAATCTTTACATATGTGCACCGTCATGGCAGTGGTCATGACAGACTAAATTGATACATACTAGTTGAAGGGTGGCCAACAGTTTTCGCCCCCGGGCCGAATCAGAGAGAAAACTTTTTCCACGGGCCGGACCAGAGGCCACCCTAGGAAGATTTTGAGGTGGTGCGAGATCTCATCGTGGTGTCACCCCGTAGAGACTAAATTGTAGATAGAGATTACAGATACATTTTTTACATTATCAACATTCTATGCTGTACTTAAGAGATTTGTAATGGAGGGTTAACTCTAAATGCACAGTGAGTTGTTGACCATTTTTTCTTTTTTAGGTGTCAGAATTTTTCATCAAGCTATTCGGACTTGAGTAGCTAAAATTGAAAGATTGATCGCGGGCCACATAAATTCATTAGATGGGCCGTATGGTGGCCATGCCCGTACTAGTTATTGATACGTGTGTTCAAGAACTACCGTGAATCAATAACTAGTGACGTTAAACAATCAGCAGCTTTCCGGCGGCTCTCCTCCAGGAGGAGTCTGTCGGGAGCACGAACGGTCGGGACCGCTGCCACGATGGTACACATAGGTAAAGATTAACCATAATTACCTTAATATAGGTAATAAATGGTAAACAGTGACTCACCTTTCCTGTTAATAACTGAAGAATAAAAATTTGTATAAACAATAAGAAACTGCTAGTAGCAACTAGTACCGCTGCCAAGTGAAGTTTTCTCATTTGACATTATGTATCATTCTCCGGGAAATAATTCTAAATAAGAGTTAAAGAAATACGTTAATTGCCGATAAAACAAAGTTTCATGAAATAAATTAAGGTACTTGAATTGAATAAATTCATACCATTACCTACCAATTATATTAATTATTGATTTATAAGACGCTTTCGAATAAGTCTGAAATTCTTAAACAGCTTAATTCTAAGCAGACGGAACTTGGCATACGAACGTTAAGCGCCATATTGAAAAATCAATATCATTGGTTAATGTGCTAGATATTGGAATTTTAAATTTAACTTTAAAGTTTTAAATTTTAAGTTAAAATTATAAATAATTTAATTTTTATTTGATTAAATTTTTTAATCGATGAGAATCAATAATAAGCCGTCGTCTGCTACACTCGGCGACGACTCCCGATTCGTGAAATTTTCGTCTGTTAACTTTTTCACAAAATTTCACGAAATAAAATATTGAAATAGCTGTAACTTAAATAATTTATTATTACTTGTGGCTTCGTAAAATAAATAAATAAATAATAATTTTGGAAGGTTTATGCTATAGAAATTAAAAGTATGCAGTGTAATTTATCAAGAAATTTAGGGGAAAAAAAACTTAAGCGCATTTTTTTTTCCTTTAAAAATTAATATTAATCTTTATTTTAAGATCGGTTTGAAAATATTTATAAGCATGTTAGTTCGAAATTTTTATAATATTATAAAGAGATTTCGGTGTTTTTTTTAATGCTCTTTCCGCCCAGTAGGCACTAAGAGGGCCTCTTATAGCAGGCCTATTATAGGCTCACAATGGAGCGACCGGATGGTGAGGGACGCGGCCCGACATAACCGAACAAACCACCCCGAAAAGCCCTGGAGATTCCTTGACCCGTCCGGATTCAATCCCAGGTCCTCCAGAGCGGTAGGCTTCCACCTTGACCGCTCGGCCATCCGGCCTGAGGTTTCTGTGTTAAAAATCACATAATCATCATAGCTTTATAAATTGAGCTATGTATATCAAAGTAAATTGAGCTATGATTGAACGGCTGTGGAAAATTTTTTTCTCTATTTTTGACTTTTTTCCCCTCCATTTTTCGGGGCAATTGCAGGCTCGACTCGGCCCACTATGGGTGTGGACGGGCGAGATGATGGACTGGGCCTGACATATCGCACATAAAAAGTTTCTGGGGTTCTCGGATTCAGTTTCTAGTTTCCAGAGAGATAGACCTACTCAACTTCCTTACCCAGCCGGTGCTCTGAGAAAGTAGGTTCGAGTCCGGGTCACCTCGGATATTTTATAGATAGTTTAATCCGGATGACCGAGACAGTAAAGTCGTCGACTTGATGCTCTGGGAATTTGTGTTTGCATTCGGGTGAAAACCTCTAGAATAGAATTTTAAATGTGTAGTCTGTCTCAAATATGTCGGACCTCGTCTGTCGTTATCGTACCGACCCCAATGTAGAACTGGCCGAACCCGCAATAGGGATGTAAAAAAGCCCTCTTAGCGCCCATAGACTAAAAAGACTGAAAAACTAAAAAGAAGTTTATCTGGATATAATATAAGACCTTGTCTTTTGCCATTCTGCGGTTTCGGCCGATCTATATAACTTAATAAAGTACATTATTTATATTAAATATTGATAATATGGATACACCGGGATAATTTTTTAAATATATATTCTTAATAGTGCTTATAAATATTCCGCTATTAACTTATATACGATAAAAAGAGATTGTAATTTGTAAAGTTTAATATTTTATTAGTTGAACAAATATATGTTATTATTTATTGTGATTTTAAGTATACTGTGGAATTATATCAACAATGATAGATTTGCTTTGTGGTGAACCTCTTCAAATCCAAATGAAGAGTAATCGCATGATACAATAACCAAGAGAATCGTTGTGTCAAAAGTATTCGAGAACCCAATTTTTCCCGATACTAAATATCTTCTATGCGTAATAACATTATTGTTGGGCTTTAAAAAAATCAATCAGTAATGTTATAGTTTTGTTTTATATGCTAAATCGTTAGTCTTCAAGTCTAAACATTTTTATCATTTGAAAATTTGTGATTCATTACGACCGAGTAAGAAGCCAGATCAACTACAGGTGCCGTGTTATGCGAATCCGTGCTATACGAAATAAAAAACTAATGAAAAAACATGGTTTAAAAAATGTTTAATAACACCTAAAAATTTTAAAATAAATTTTACTTAATACGAAGATTAATCTATAAAAACAAAACAAAGTCTAAGAGCAACGACAACGATATCCGATTGATAGGGAAGTAAGGATAAGGAAGGAAAAAAATCGTGTTGTAAAAATGCCGTATTGTACGAGGGATACTCGTATAAAATTTCTCGAGAATCATAACCAGACTGAACCCAGACTCTTTATCAGAAACCTTTCCGAAATATTAAAACCGAAAAAATTATGAGACAAATTTTATTTGATAGAATATAAAAAACTATGCTTAAAAGCAAAATCTTAGTTTCGTGCTCGAGTTAAGATTATTCAAATATGGAAAACGTCATATTAAAAAACTAGGTACGGAGGAAGAACACTCTACTCCCACGTGTGCCACATATGGACCGTAAGCATAGCCCTGACGAGAAGAAAGAAGTTGCTGTATCTAGTGCAGCAGGATTTATATTCGAAGTGGCTCAATGCAATTTAAATTTTTCGTAGCCCCTTGCAACTAAATAAACTTATTTATCATTATTATACAGTTTATTACATAATATATCGTGTTATACTACAACTTCTTCCGACCTTTCTCAGCCGCAAACTGCTCAATAACATCATTGAAAGACAGTTTCTGCAATTTATCGTTCTCAATAAATATGAAACTTATATCTGATAGTTTCTCGCAAATAAAAGTTACCTCAGTTAATAAACAAATTTGTAAGCCATGTTCCATTTCTTCACAGTCCTCTAAAGATTTCTGGATCTGCTGTTGATCCCATCGTCTTATATTAATGTTCATATAATTATATTTTAGCTATAATACTACGGCTCGTTTAAAAACAATTTAACTTAATGCGTGCACCTGTTATAGATACTGGAAACTCTAATAGAGAAGTAGCGTGTCGAAATTCCATTAGGGTGTCTATCAGTTAGAGTCAGATGCTGATTAACCAATGTCGTAATGTTTAGTGACTTTAACTTACTAGACATAGCTGATTCTTAATTTAAATCCGTTCCATTATCTAGAAATAACATTATAATGACTGAGGTTACTTCCTATCTTACATCCAGTCAATTGTCTTCCATCGTATTGAATGACTGAAGTATTTTTTGAAACATTTTAAAATGTTTTGAATGAAAATAATTAAAAAAAGCATTAAAAATATAAATTATAATTTATCAGAACGAAAGACGTGATGGAATTTACACTTTCGCTCTTATTTGTGTATTGATCGAAGAAGGATTTAAAGAAGTGGCGACAGTTTTTATCGCTTCTTTTAAAAAAAATTCTACACATATTTTAGATTAAAATTTATTAGTGATTTATAATAAGAAAAAAGTTTAAGAGCTAATGAAAAATTATTTGAAATGAAGATCGGTTAAATAGTAAAATTATTAATATTTAGAGTTAATAATAAAAGTTTATAGTTATACTATGTAAATACACTATTGATATAACGTAAACTGTATTTATCAGCCGATTATTTAGCCGAGTTCGATATTTGGAAAACTATAATTGTTTGTACAAGTGTTTTGAATTACAACGAATTGTATAATTTGTTGTAATTCGAACACTTGTATAACGGTGTATTTTGAGGAATTATGAGAATATAATCACATTTTTTTTTAATTTAAAATTTAAATATATATTGATATATACAAAAATAAATGCAACTTTTCTCACAGAACAGATGTGTAGATCGTGGACTGCTCCTCGCTGTGTAGACCGTTTAAATTTCGTTCAGTTTACTAATCCATTTTTTTTTCATTATGCTTTTTACACGCGCGATTCATATTTTATTATGTTATATTATATATTTTTCGACTTTAATTCATTTACGTTGCTAAACTTTTTGTCAGAACACTCCGCTCGTTGACATTAGCCAGGTTGCGGCCGAAGTTTTCATCTGTAAAACGCGAACGTCGAACGTCGAGCGCCGCTATCTTATAAGCGGCGCTCGACGTTCGACGTTCGCCTTTTACAGATGAAAACTCTTCGGCCGCAACCTGGCTATTAACAAACATAAAATTAAAACGTCTTTAAAAAAAAAAAAAAAACATATTTAGATAAAGTTAGACGAAAGAAATATTTAATATTTATTACTTTTCTTACATTTTTTTTTTAAATTACGATTTATACTTTCCGACTACAGATGGCACTTGCAATAAAACTCTGTTTTAATTTCTTATAGTGTTTATTTTCTTTTCCCATAATCCTTGTCGTAAATGCCTTTTGGAAGAAGGTCTGCTGTGTTATCTTAGTTTTGAGCAAGGTAAATGTAAACATAATAAATAGGTAGAACGATAGGTCAAAACACATTATGAAAAAAACCAATTACTTTTGGATGATCTAGCAACAAGTTTGGTTAGAAAGTTTTTCACGTCTTAACGAAGTAAGTAAGACAATTTACTGTTTGTTTATTTAAAAAAAGAAATCGAATTTATATTTTGTATCTACGTTTTATATACTTTAAAACATTTAAAATCTACAAGTATGAAAATTACGCTCTTTCCTTTTAATTGACACCTGTTGCTCATTTGCGTTGGCATACTTTCCAACAAACAGGTATGGTGGAGTTAAAAGGAGTACAAAGTCTTGCTTTGTTGGTAATTAAAATAATGTAATATTATTAATTATCCTAAATAAATTAACCAATGGATAATCACGTTTCATTTAAACATACAACAAACAAATTTAGAGAATTTAAATGATGATTATAATTGTATTTCTATTTACATCAAGATCTGTTATTTTATTTTATTTTTTAGGTAAGATTCTAACTGTGAATGAGGGGGTTTGCTTTCTCTTTCATTCAGAGTTAGAAACTTGCTCAAATCTTTGTATTTATAAAAATAAGGTAATTGTTTACTATAAGTTACGGCGTGTCTTTTTATTTAATTGGTTTGTTTTTTTATCCGGAGTAAATTTGCATCGACGTAAACTAAGAATGTGTTGTGCCGATATCCGCTTAGTGATCAATATGATGATTTTCGAGCCAAATATTGTATACTAAATGGAGAAGATGCTGCGTTACGTGTACGTTTTTTATTGCAAGCACTTTATCCTCGTCGTCGGGTGAAAATTGGAAATTTACCGAGAAGTTAAATGGAAATACAGTAGAACCCCTCTAATCCGTCACCTTTGGGACTGGGGGTGTGGTCGGAACGCAAAAAAGGTCGGATTATCAGAAAAACAGTAAAATAAACAATCTTTCCCTTTGTCCA